TTTTTTTTTCTTTTCTTTCTTTTTCCATTGCTTTGGTAATAGTACCTCAGCTCTTAGCATGTGCCATAACCAGAAGCACTAGCATCATTCAAATGTATTGCTCATAATAAAAAAGAGAGAGTGGCTTCATTTCTAACATCCATCTGGCAGTGCCTTTTTTTTAACTTGTATACAAATTAGGTACGTAGGAATGTTTAAAACGTTGGTACTGTTTGAGCTTCCTGACCACTAAATGAACTTGATTTTGTGGCTCCTGTTACAAAGTACTGAAAAGTGTAAAAGTAAATCAGAACTCCCAAGAACGTAAGAGATGGTATTGCTACTGTACTGCAGCTTGGATGCTGACCTCCAGGTGCTGCCACAAGATGCATTCCTAACTTAAGAATATGCTGAGTAGCCTGAGGCATTAAAAAAAGCATGGTAGTAGTGCCTGTAATGTCTCTATGGTTTTAGATGGAATTAAATAATTTTAAGCTTAAGAGTATGTATATTAATTCATACAGTGAATGTTGGTTTTCTGATTTTTCTCGTGCTTCTGTGAATTATAACAGAACTCTCCCAATCCTATATGTCCAGATATTCAAATGTGTTTGAATGTGCCAAATGATGATGGGTGCATATTGTTTTCAGTCAAAAGCTGTCTTGGGAATTACCCTTCAGAAGAGGAATATGTCCTAGGAAATTTGTATAACTGCTATTCTTGTCCAGAGACTTAGAAATATTTAGAACTAAGTTGTATTTAAAAACAATTGCCTAGTAACTTTTAATTCACTTTGTTTACAAATAATTTTAGTGTGAATGTACATATAAATGATGATAGCACGGTTGCTTGCTTTCTTTTTCTTTACAAGGTGTGTATTTGGGCTTTTTTTTTAAAGACAGAAAAGCAACGGAGCTTCTCCTTTAGTTGAAATAGTAGGCTGGTCGCTCTAGGTTTGTGCCTGTCTTTCCATGGTGCTACAAATTTAGTTATTTGGTATGCTGCCACGGGGCAGAGTATGATACAGTGGTTAAAAGTTGGTAGCTGGAAGGATTGCGGAAGACTTAGGTGGAGGGTACACTTCAAAAGATACTGAGAATATTTCAAAACCTTTCTCTGGCTTGTTTTGTGGAGGTGCAATTGCCTTTTCTTATCAGTTAAACTACTGTTCTTCTGACTCCCACAAACTAGGAAAAGGCAAGAAGTCCAGATCCTCAGGATCTGAAAAGTGTAGTGGCAAATAGTATTTATGACCTTGTCACTGTGAACATACCTGATCTCCTCTGACCTCTGCAGCTAACAGGTTAGACCTAGTTAGTACTTGGATGGGAAACCTCTTGGGAATACCAGGTGCTGTAGCCTCTGCCTAGCAAGAGTGGAGTCTCCATCCTTGGTGACATTAAGAATGTGTCTGGACAAGGCCCTCTGCAATCTGCTGTAGTTGACCTTGCTTTGAGCAGGGAGGCTGGACTAGATGATCCCCAGAGGTTCCTTTCAACCTCAATGATTCTGTGGTGACTTCCTCTTGAGATGACATTAATATGATTTCACTGAGGTTATACTTTTCAGATCACTTCATGTATTATCCCTAATGTGGAAGAACAGAAATTTTGTTAGGCATAATCAAAATGAATGGCGTAAGGAGGCTGTTAAGCAGAAAGCTTTAAGCCACCTTAGTGTTGGGTAAACACTTTGCACCTGATGCTGCATGTCTCATTTGTAAGAGATCGTTTCCCATTTCACTTTGTGGACTTCAATTGTGCACTGAACTTTTAAGCTATATAATAGCTTTAAAGTAGTCAGCTCTGTTTCTATAATGCTGTAAGTGAACACTGAATGTGTAAAGCCCTCTGTTTCTCCCTGGGAGAGCTAACATCTACAAGATGCTGCATATTAGGTGTGAAATTAATTTGGGAGCACTTTCTAGAGAAGATTGTTATGTTTGTTTGGGAAGATACATGACCTAATTAGTAATTGGTCAATTTTCTATTATTGGTGACTTAAATATAAGATATTTTGTTTCATCTGAGAGTGAATTTACTTTCACAATTATTAAAGCAAACTGTCTTCAGGTAAAAAAAAAAAAAAAAGCTTGTACAAGTTAGAGCTCACTTGACTGTGCTTAAGAACAGAACTGTGTGATCTGTGAAAGTATGTTACTAAAGTACCTTGAATTTGTTCTCTTAAAAAGATGATTTTTCAGCTCTTAAAATTCTATGTTTGAATTCCAGGATGTGGAAGACTTGCAGAGAAACTAGTATTTAGTGTCATACATAAGGAGAGTGTGAACCCACAAGCTAACTTGGTTTGGGAATGAGTTGGAAGTCTTCTCGCAGATAACCTTTTAAGATTTGCTGGATTGTAAGAATGGGTTTCCCAGTAACTTGGCAGTAATTTTTTATTTACAGAGGCTAAAAAGATTTGATGTTTTCATATCTCTAGCCTTTTTCCTAAATAAAGACTGTCTTGTGCTTCTGTTTTGTTGAGTTACTCTGTGGAAAAAGTAATGGGATTCTTTCTTCCTCAGAATCTTCTGTGTATTAAAGGCTCTTAAATATTTATTTCCAAGTGGGTTGCATGTTTTAACCTCTGAGAAAGAAATTATGTTGAACAGACTTGTAATGATAAATATTATTATACTGTCACTGAGTATAGTGTAGGTAGTTCTGGATAATGTGGGTTTGATGGCTTTGCTAAAGGCTTCAGAAACATGGGGGGTACCAGGGTCATAAGGGTGGCTAGAATCAAAAAGAAAGAGATGGGAAGACACATATATTCTTGGTTAGCAGTTATTGTTGGATTTTTTTTTTGTCAACTTCACAAATTACTTAAATATATTTGTGCACTAATTAGTTTGGTAAAATTCTGCAGTTTTCCTAACTGTAACTGATCCTTGGATGCTCAGTAGTAATACTGAACTAGAATAGATCAACGATTAAGTTCATAGAATCATAGAATGGTTTGGATTGGAAGGGACCTTAAAGATCATCTAGTTCCAACCCCCCTGCCATCAGCAGGGACACCTTCCACTAGATTGATACAAGAAACTGCTTTCCACTAGAAAGAAACTCAAGAAACTTTTCCACAAGAAACTGCAAGCCACTAGATTGATACAAGAAACTTTTACAAGTTGATACAAGAAACTGCTTTCCCAGTAGTCCTGGAAAGCTGCACTGTCTTGCTGTAAATAATTTCAATGCGTAATGTTAGCTCCTTGATGTCTTAAATTATTTAATATTATGTATTTTAACATTATTTAATAAGTGTTAAACAAGTAACACTATGCTTGCTAATTAGAAGTGAAACTGAAAGTTGATATTTAACTTTAATCAATAATGTTGTTCAGGAATATGAAGCACGGACAGGAAGAATGTATAAACCTCCACTCCCAGCAGCAAGACGTAAAAATATTGAATTTGAACCACTTTCAACTACTGCTTTGATTCTGGAGGATCGACCAGCGTAAGTACGATTCTGCTGTAGAGCTAATGATGACCGAATTTGTTAGATATGTTTCTGATGAGATAAACTTCACCAGTCTTACATGAAAATATGATTGGATTATTCCATCCCAGGTAATAGACTAACAGATACTTCCAGAAGAAGCTTTAAGCACATTGTAGTCTGTATGAGGAGTTATTTCTTGCTGTAATGGGTCCACCAGTCTGTTATCTACTCTATATCACAGCGGCCTGTGACGGTGTTGTGGGCATCCTTAATCAGGAAAATTCTAAAGACTTTTATGGATTTCTTCCCTGTCATCCCAGTGTGCACTCACTTCTCCTTCCCCAGTTCTGGAAGCTTCATTTCCTAGACCAGACAGGAGAACTTAACAGTGGGAGCTGTCACTTCAGCAACCGTGGACTTGGTTTACCAGAAGAGTTTTTTAAGAAAGGAAAAAAAGAAAAAGTATTATGTAGGTAATGAAAAAGTGGGAAGAATTGCCTTTGAAACACAAGAAATGCCTTCCTGTCACAAATGCTGAATGTTCATTTTGTGTCTGGCAACAACAGCTGAATGCTTTGTTGGTACCAAGATGATAGTGTTCACTTTAACTGTTCCTTGCCCCTGTTCCAGTTATGTTTTCATGGCTCCTTAAAACTACAGCTGAAGGCAAAGAAACAGCAGATGAAGATGCAACAAAAACTGCATTAAGTACAAATAAGAATTGTAATGAAAAATGGGTACTAAATTGGTCAGTATTTTCAGCTATAGAGTCTGCAGCAATTTGATGGAAAGAGAAGGACCTGCTGCCTAGGAACACACGCTGTGAGGAAAGCAAATAGAGCAAAGCTTTCAAATTTCACTTTGAGAAAGCTTGTGATGGCACTGTTAAATGTTTGGTCTAATCGGTTCCAATTAGTAAATGGAAAATAGAACATCCAGTGTTTCCTTCGATGTTCTCCCTAGTGGTATATGAGCTCATTCAGTGCTAAGACAGAAATATCCTGAATGGAGGTACGGATTGCTATGATGATGTTTTGTTTTTTTTTTTTTTTGTAAATGCATTATTTCTTTTACTACATGGTGGAGAGCAAGATATGCAGTAAGTGGGGTTTTTTATGCTTTTTCTATACTTTCAGAATATCACAATTAACAAACTAACATAAGTATGATTTTACAAATTACTTTTCTTTGTTTCAAATTGGAGTGCCATCCCAAGTGTGTAATGTGTTGCCACATCTCATCCTTGAAAATATATTCTGCTCTCACTTCCATTGGAAATATTAAGAAAGTGATCTTTTCTGCTTGTGTAAGAGGAGATGGAAGACTTTTTTTTTTTTTTCCATATTAAAATGACAAAACTGTCTTCTGTTTATTTTCAAGCAGTGTAGACTAGAGATTAGGTAAGAGACTGAGACCAAACATTGTGTTCTGATTTGTTTTGAAATGAGTCTGCTTGGTCAAAATGAAGTGTGTGTTCGGCAATTAGGGGATCACTCTGTAACCAAAAACCAAACACGTTTTAAGCTGGGGAGCTTGTAGTTCTGCAGCAAGCTTCCTTAACTCTGGCTCTGACGTAAATGGGAATCCATCCTTTCTTCCTTTGGTAAATCTGTCTTCTCTTGTAGGAGTTTTAAATGGTGAACTATAATGAATAAAAACCTTTACCTTTAATTGAAAATACATCTTTATAGATTTCATATAAACAAATGGGGTATCGATATGCAGGTATATTTAATGATTAAAATATGCATGTGCAGAAATGCATTGGAATAAATAACTATATGGAATATCAGTGTTTCCCTTTTGTTACTTCATGCAAACTTAATTTGAGCATCATTCCAGATATTCAACAAATCTCATAACCCTGCTTTGGGGGAAGCTATAGGAGAAATAATAAACAGAAGCAGTAAAAATCTCGTAGTTCTGAATAAATAAGTCCTCTACTGCTCTTACTGTAGTGTGACAGCCCCAGAGCTCACTTTAGAGATAACCCAAATTAAAATCTGTTTTGAAATGGTTCAGAATGTCATTTGTGTGTATTGAATTCAGGAACAACTTGTTTTCAGAAATCTTCCTGCCAAATCAGTGGAGGAGGCTTTACGTCACCGACAAGAATATGATGAGATGGTGGCAGAGGCAAAAAAACGAGGTATGTTAACTGCCAACAATCACTATAATTCTTTTTAACTGTGCAGCAAAAATAAAGTAATTTCTGGCTTGTAGGCTGGTAGGTAAAGAGCGACCTGGTTTAATATCTAAGTTATTCTTTGGTACATATGTGCATACAGTTTAAAACATAACTCATTTATCAGATTGTTTTCTTATTCCACCACAGTGAACGTAACTAGGTTCAGAAGTCAGTTTAACCTTTTCTTTAATTTTTAAGTAGAAACTTGATTTTTTTTTTTTTTTTAAGCTACTTGTAATATGATCAGTTAGAAACTTTCTGGATTCTCAAACTCTTTTTTCAAGCTGTGTTGCTCCATTTGCCACTAAGAGCCAAAGTATAATAAAGCTGCCTGCTTAAAGATCTGCTCTTTCAGGAATTTGAGATTAATTCCAATATGAATACAGATGAAAATTCTGGGTTTTTTTCCAACTAGTTGTACCTGTGTTTACCTTCCTACTCCCACTAGATCTGTTTGGTTTTTTTTAAATTAAACATATCTGTAGCATCTGGTACTGTGTCAGTCTATGAATAGTTGTTGAAAGGACTTCTGTAGTCTCATGCCTAGTATTCAGGGAATAAGCTATTTTAAGAATCTGTGCTGCATGTTTTATTTGGGCTGTTGTCAGTTATGAGTTTCTGAACTGATTGAGCCTCTATGGATCTATGGCAGCTTACTCTGAAAGATGTAATAAGAAATCCAAGGCATTTGACAACTCATTTCACTGCTCTCTTGTGGTGTTGTTTATCTTGTAAGGTGTGTTCTGTGGTCCGTGTTCTCTAACTGCACCTTTGGAGGGTCAGCCATGTGTAGTGTTTTAGTATGTGTGCCCTAGTATTTGTTAAATTAACTATTGCTACATGCAAAGCTTCAGTAAAAACTTAATGAAGCCGGTCAGCTGTATCAGTTTACCAGGGAAGGTATGTTTATTCTGTTGATGTGTCTAATGCATCCATAAATAGAAAATGTTCTGCAATTTCACAGCGGTTCTTAGTGATAGCACTGCTCTGTCCTTCTTTTAGCCTTTTTAAGGGATCTACAAATAACCTTTTTTTAACAGAAGGCAGAATACTTTTCTCTTGTTCAGCATTGTGGCTTTGTCTCAGATCTTTAGGTCCTCTTTCCAGAAAACAAAATATGTAATCCTTCTAGGTGGAGCTTTCAGTAAAATTTGAATAATTTTTAAATGGACGTAGAGTTGCACTTTTGAATAATAATTTTATCTATTTAGTCTAAGTAATAAGTAAGATTTTGGTAGAACATGGTGTGAAATTCATTACAGCATAAACAGCACTGAGGATGTACTTGCTTTCTAGTCATTCTGTGTACTGCAGAAAAGAGTGCTAAGAGTTTGCTAGCCAGATTTTTAGTTGTGTAAATTGCTGTGTATTTGAATAACTTAAAGATAGCTTAAATTTAAAAAATTCCTGAGAAATAGCTACAGTCAACAGAAATAGTACCAGCTAAACTCATGTGCAACTGTAATTTACCCTTGATCTCTTTCAGACATCATCTAAATATGATATGTGAATTATTTACCTAATAGTTTATATAGACTAATACAGAATTACTAACATTTTACGCTTAACAGAAATTAAAGAAGCACATAAAAGGAAAAAAATAATGAGAGAGCGTTTCAAGCAAGAAGAGAATATTGCTAGTGCTATGGTGATTTGGGTCAATGAAATACTACCTAACTGGGAAGGCATGTAAGTAAAATTCTGTTTTATAAATGATGCAAGGCTGGCTTGATTCTCCTCTGGAAACAAAGCAACCATGTACCTTATTTTCCTTTTCCTTTCTATTTTGTCAAGAAGTCAGTTTTTGTTGCCATGATATAGTGAGAAGTCATTACAGAGCAAAATGAAATGTGCTTTCTGGGAGCTTAATGTTTGGGGCTTTTTCAAAGGGGCTTTAGCATAAGCAGAGATCCTTGAATATTGTTTTAGGAAATAGTATGTTATTTTGCTTACAAATTCCCCAATGATTTTAGAGAACAAGATGTGCAACATGTGCCTTTCCACCCCCCACCCCTTCCCTCTACCCCCCACTGCTTCCATATCCTAGGCGTGCTACCCGAAGAGTTCGAGAGCTGTGGTGGCAGGGATTACCTCCAAGTGTACGTGGGAAGGTCTGGAGTCTAGCTGTGGGAAACGAATTAAATATCACTCCTGGTATGTCTTAACAGATCACATTTTAATACAAAATTGAGTTGGTTGTTTTCAAAGAAAAAAATTAAACTTTTGTTCAAAAAATATAAATGAGAGTATATTTGCGTTCTGAAGAACAATTTCACAACCCTAGGAACAGGGTTTTCTTACAATTAGACATCAAAGCTTGGTAAATTATGGAAACAAGGTTCAAAACCTGCTAACAAAAGCATTTTAGTCTTACAAAAGTTAAGGTGGTGCTCCTCCCACAAAAAATAGTTTTGATGTTTAAAATTGAGAATTGGTAGATTTGTTTTCTTAAGGACTCGGAAAGGGGAATTACTTTGTTTCATAACTGATAATTTTGATGAACTGCAAGTGTTCTAACCTAGTCACAAAAATAAAAATCTGAATTAAGACATGATTTCCCTCTTGGAATTTGCATGTTCACCACAGAAGAAAGCATAATACAGTGCACACTATAAAGCTGTGTATAGTGGTGGTACTCCAGTGGTTAGTGGTAACCATCTAATAGATTCTCCCCCTGCCACCAGTGGTTAAAATGAAACCAAACAACAAAACCAAAGCCAAGAATACTTGGTGTGCTTTTATTTGGATGGGTGCTTTTCCTGCTTATCTCTTCATTTTTGGTTTTGGTTTTGTTTTCTTGCAGAACTTTATGAAATCTTCTTGTCAAGAGCTAAGGAACGATGGAAAAGCTTCAGTGAGACAAATTCTGAGAATGACATAGAAGGTGAGATCTCCTGAATGCTGGGCAGCCTCCTATTCGCTTTTGCAAACCCAGAAAGTCTCACAAGTGCATGTGCAATTACAGCATTAGGAATATTTGTTAGAAGTGCTCGGGGTCATTCCCTACTTTAATGTTTGTTTTCACATAACAAGTCAGTGAGTGAGGAGCTTAACAATATTTACGTTATCAATGAAAGATGCATTGAAATATTGCATGTGATAGTTCACTTTCAAAAGATCGCTTTCAAAAGTGTATTCCTCTGAATTCTTGAAATACCAGGACTAAGCTCTCAATGTTTTTTATGGTGGATATATCCTTGTTATAAACATTAACTCCTTGTGCTGTTAACAGGTACTTTTAAAAATGCTGTCTTATGTGATACTGTCATTTCCAGCTGCTATGAAATAACTTTTTTTTTTTTGAGTTGGTATCTTGTTTGGGCAAGAAAATGCAATTCTAATGCAAGAAGTACTTTTTTTTTTTTGTTTGCACATGACATAGCCCATCCTAACTGACTACTTTGACTGTAAATTATTTGTGCCTTCTTTAGGCTATGTCTGTGACTTTTCTGAAACTTGTATAGAAAAATTGTGTGTATAAGTATATTTACATGACTGTAAAGATACTTATCCTTGGAAAACGTGTTTGCAATGCACCTTGATTTGCGGGGTGGCAGTTTGTTCTTTTTTTTGGGGGGGGTGTGGACTGAGTGTGGGGGAACATTAAGTAATTTGTTTATTTTGGAATGGTAGTAGTTCTGGATGAGAATGAGAGGGAGAAGGGTCCAATTTGATTGTGTCAGATGTTCTGGGAAATGTAGTAATAATGGAAAACTTAGAGTAATAGGATTTTCATCTCTGGTTGAAAAGCAAGTCAGCCCACTGTGCTTATTACTAATTGGTGGTAGCAGAGTCTGGAAGATCAGTTATTTTAGCCTCATTTAACTTATCTGAGTAGTTCTAAAAGTTTTTCCTGTTGGGATATCTTTAACACTTTATTTTGGCAGATAAAGATTAAAGCATGAGAAGTATCTTTTTGTGTCTTGAAGACAAGACGTTCATCAAAAGATGTGTTATCTGTCAGATCTGTTCAAAAGACCCCTAGCAGTTCCTCTTTTGAAGTTGAACTCAATTTCTTATATAAATCCAGAGGTTCTTATGCTCTATATCATAGATTATAATCTTCTTTGGGAATACTCTAAATGGATACTGTCCTAAATGAAATGATCCCAAATTAACCAATATAAAACCTGTTTGTTTTGAAAGAGAAAGGAGAGATTAAGCAGCAGTTTTTGAACTTTCTATTTTAGATTGTGTATGTTCTCTCTCTGTAATAATAATTGCCTTCTTTCTCCCAAATTCCCCTAATACAGCCTGCAGCAGTCCCACTTGCTCCTAAATACAACTGTCTTAGTTTTAGGAAGACTAGAAGAAAATGTTCCTTTACTGGCTTCAGCAGAGCAGGTTCTGTTTAGCCTATTCATCAAATTCTGCAATCTTCCACTTCCTAGATGGTTTAAGCCCTCTGAAAGAGCCTTTTCCCCAAGTGCCATGTGTGTTTTTCTCCTTACTATCACTAGTTTTTGCATCATGTCCCTATGTAGAGGACAGGATAGAGATAATGCAACGGCCAGCTGAATTTCTTCTGGAGATTCTTGAGTGAATGCTGCCTTCTTTCCTGCCATTTGAGGAATGCCACTCCTAAGGATGGAGGGGGGGGGAAGGCAAAACAAAACCCAAACCTGAGTCAAATGAGAGCTCAGAAGTAATGTAACTTCTGCAGATCATAATTGCGTGGTCAATTCTGGAAACTTCAGTGAAGTTTCTCTGTATATTTTAGTTACCTTCAGTAAAAGGGGAACTTGAGAAAAACATGATTTCAAAAGTAATATGGTTGACTTTGCAGGTGAAGAAGTGCTGTCTTCTTGTGATAATGATGTAATGAATCTTTTTCTTCTAGTGTACAGAGTATATTTCAATGCTGCTGGTTGAAATGAGTCACCAAATGAGCCAATTAGGAATGAAAAATTTGAAAACTGAGGTCCCACTGGGTCACATTTAATCAAGAGCTGTGCTCTTACTCTGTACTCTTGCACTGACTCAGTAACTGAAGTCACAGTAGAAGATAAGAAAGAAAACAGGGTTTTAAGGACTGGCCTGGAAAAAGTTCAAATTCTAGTGAATGCAGGGACAGTCTGGACCTGCAATAAAGTGTTATATAGCAGTAAAAGGTAACCTGTTGGTTTTAAGTCTGAATGGTGGAAGGGTGTGTGACTTGAAAAAGAATGAGTAGACAGGTAGTAATTACTGATTGTTTCCCTCACTTTTTGGGGTTGATGACATATAGCAGGTCTTAGTGGACAGTTTGAGCTCTTGAAATATAGCACTGTAAGAGTGCACTCCAAAAATTAGAACTAGGTTACTTTTTTTCCTTAGATCCTAAAAGTCTTTCTGTGCCTATGGCAGTTTTATTCTGAAGTCTATAGAATTTATCTGTTAGTTTTAATAAGTGTTGGTTTTGCTTGCAGATGCAGGTGCATCTGTTGCTGATCGTGAGGCCAGTCTGGAGCTGATTAAGTTGGATATATCACGCACATTTCCATCCCTGTATATTTTCCAGAAGGTGAGATTTCTGTAAATTCAGTTATGACAACTTTAAACTTCTGAATAGTTAAACAAGAAAATAAACCTAGTTGGCTAAATATGGAATAGATTTTTTAGAAGTTGTTTGTATAAAACAACAAAAGTAAAATTAGTTCTTTTCTACATAAAACAGCAAATATTCTTTTTTTTGTTGGTGTTTGGTTTGCTTTTTTGTTTTTTTGTTGGTTTTTTTTTTTTTTGTTGGTGTTTGGTTTGCTTTTTTTTTGTTGTTGTTGTTGTTGTTGTTGTTTTTTTGTTAATGCGAATTAAATAGGGAGAAAATGATGGACATTAAGGCTTTTTCTCCTGGAAAAATGGCATGTGGTTCATATTAATATTTATGAAATTCCATGAAAACATGAGAATTTTCTCACTGCTTCTACAGAAATCTTGATGTATTTTAATACACATTTTCAGGCTTTATGACTTCTATATAGATATAATATATGCATACACATGTATATGAAATGGTATGCACTATTGTAGTACAGTAACTTGTATTCCTAAGAAGTAGAACATCCACTGTCTCTGAAAAGGAAAAACCTGGGTGTGTAACAGATATATCCTAATTTTCCATTATTTACTGATTTCCACTGAATTTTAAAAAGGGAAATAGGAAGATCCAGGGAACTCCAGGCCAGTTAGTCTCTCCTCTGTGCCTGGCAAGATCATGGAGCAGATCTTCCTGGAAACTGTGCTAGAGCACATGGGAAATGAGGAGGTGATTGGTGAGAGCCAACATGGCTTCACCAAGGGCAAATAGTGCCTGACCAATCTGGTGGCCTTCTATGACAGGGTTACAACATTGATGGTTAAGGGAAGAGCAACTGATGTCATCTGTCTGGACTTGTGGAAGGCATTTGATGCTGTCCCACATGACATCCTTGTCTCTAAGTTGGAGAGACGTGGACTGGATGGTTGGACCACTTAGTGGATAAGGAATTGGCTGGATGGTTGCATGCACAGATTTGTGATCAACGGTTCAATGTCCAAGTGGAGACCGTGACTAACCATTCTATGATTCTGTGAATTATTTCATAGGATTATTGGTCTGTTACTTTAACATCCCAAAAGCATACATGATAATGCTTAGAGTAAAAACTGGTATTTTTCTAGATGTGAACAAAGCAATAATTCACTGGCTCATTTGCATCTTAAAATACTGACTTGTTATCTTCCTATATTTATAAAGTGATTTTGAA